AAGTCAAACAAAGCTAAGAAAAACGTTAGCAATGACTATCGCAATTTAAACACACATAAACAAAAATTAAGGTAAGAAAACTACTATACATATACACACATCTAGTCTCATTCAACAATAATACATTCAATGTGACTTTGCCTCCCCGGCAACGGCGCCAAAATTTGATAGGCCGTCGTCGAGCCTACCAAAGATAATAATTCCTATCTTGGTCTCACTAACAATAGTAAGGGTAAGAAAGGGTCGAACCCAAGAGAGGCGTTGAATCAACCACCGAGTACTACCGTTTAAATAAGCTAAACGAATTCTAAATTGGGTTGGTTTTTAGTAACTTCTTCTAACACAATTCAACTAAGCTAAGAGGAGGTTAACAATATTAAGAGGAATCTAGGGCTTGGGTTATACCACTCAACTTCATCACAAATCACAATTAGCATGCAACAATCAAGGTAAATTAATGGGATAAATTAGGGGAAGTCATCTAAAGCACCCAACTACTCTCTCAAGCTAGAGGGATTACTTGAATCATGAATACGACCTACTCTCGTGGTTACATAGCATAAAACAAGTGTTAAAGCATAATCACGATGACATAAACATTCCCTTGACCGGTAATCCCTATTCTCATGGCATTTCGGGTCAATCAAGCATAAGGGAGCTAACTCAAGTTCATCTCTCGATCCTTCGTTGAGAAAGCTTGGATAAATAGTTCTAGCAATGGCCATATACAAGAACTAAGCAATTAAACCACTTAAGCTCAACTAATTAACATCCCACAACAACCAAATTAGCACATGCAACAAGTAATTAGTGACTACATTGAGGGTTTTGCCCAAACCCTAGAATTTAGACTACTCATAATCCATGGGGGTTATAGCAATTAAAGATTTCAAGCAATTCATGAACAAATTCAAACTAAGGATTAAGCTAATTAACAATCCAAAACATGCAAGAACTAGCAAATAATTAACAACAAAGTAAAGAGAAGTAGAAAAGATGAGTAAGAAATGGTTACTATGAAGCTTCAAGGTGAGCAACAATGGTGGATTTTGTCTTCTACAATGATTGAATTTGAATAATTCCAAGCTAATAATTGAGAACTAACTAATGATTTGAGAATTTAATGTTCTAAGACTACAAACTAAGAGAAAAGCTCTGAAAAACTGCCTCTCCTCCCGCAAATGAGCTCTAAAGGGGTATTTATATGACCCCCAAATAAAAAGGACGGAGAAAACAAGGAAGGAGTTCGACTGCAGGTCTGCACGGACGTGCCAGATTTGGCACGGACGTGCAAGGCTAAGCACGGCCGTGCCAAGTTTGGCACGGACGTGCAGAGGGGGCAGAAATGAGGCAGAACGTACTGCTAAGAATCGAGCAGTTCCGCACGGACGTGCAGATATTGGCACGGACGTGCAGCTACATCTGCACGGACGTGCTTAATTTGGCACGTCCATGCAGGCCTTGGCAGAATGTTCTGAGTTTCTGGAGCACTTCTGCACGGACGTGCAAAGTCTGGCACGGTCGTGCACCCTCTTCTGCACGGACGTGCCAGATTAAGCACGGCCGTGCAGGCCTTGGCAGCTTGCTGAAGCTTTCTGGAACCTCCTGCACGGACGTGCAAGGTCTGGCACGGCCGTGCAGGGTCTTCTAAACCCCTTTTTTTCATCTTTTCTTCTATAATGCTCCTTTCCTTGGCTTCTTTCATCCATCTTCTTGCTTCTAACCTCGGCTTTGTATCCATGGGCTCCATTTGGTCGTTCTTTTGAACCTAGAATCTCAACAAAAACACCAACAACCCGTGAAGCATAGGATACACAAAAATTGCATAATAATAGAGTAAAAATGAACCAAAACGCAATTTATATCAAGTAAACTAGGTTCAAAACACCCTAAAATCGTATCAAATAGCAAGTTATCAAGTGGTCTAAGAGTAAATTAAAGTAACGAAATAGTCGGATCATTTTGGATTGAATCATGTTCATTTTGCAATAAAATTTGTATCAAGTGTGAATGACATACACTGCGGCTCAGTCCATATCAAATTTTATATTGTGGATGTCAAACGTTATATATTCATATGCTGCCATTACTAAAAACTTTTCCAGGATGATAAATTCTTTACCAAATCGCCTAACAGCCCAACAAAGTTAGCACATTTGATCGAGAACAAGGAAATTCTTAAAATGACACACACACTTACATACACGACTGCACTTGTTTTTGTATTCATTTTCTTGTACGGTGGATGATACATATTCATCGAACTAGTAAAACCTTTACATGGTGTAGCATCCACAATGTTCAAAGGGAACGAGTTCGCAAGGCGTATATCATTGCTACCAAGGCTAATAGCTAGTAGTTTATCTTCCTTTTATAATGTGTTTTAGTTTGTTTGTTTAATTTCATGTATAAAAAAAATGCCTTCAAAAGTCACAAATCAAAAAATGTTTCCTTCAACAAACATACAAAGTATTTGGCTTGACATTTCTCTTTCCATGTCTTTCTCTTCCTTACAATCAATCATTAATTTTACAATTATACTAGATGCGTTGCAACAATTGGTCATAATTAGTGGATCTTAATTAAAATAGTGGTCCAATGCCGGAAATTCCACACACTTGTCATATATAAGTTGATAACAACATTCACGTCTTCCTTCCACAATTATAAGAAAATGTAGACATGTTTATTGGCCGAATTTATTAAACAAGAGTTTAATTAGTTTTACTTTCACATTAATTAATTGATGATTATCATAATTATTTAAGTTCATTTTTGGTGGGTGTTACAAATTCATTAATTTTGAAGTGGTCTTGCAACTACGTTAGGTAGGTTTCACCAAGTTTATATTGGCCAATGGCCAACTTCAATTATATGTAGTGTATAGAGAAGAGGTAGTTGGGTTACACCTTGCACGTTGTTAGATGAGGGTACAAAAGGTGACATACAGGTTATGTTTTGCGTTAAATAATCTACGGAGTATATTAATGAAATTATAGCTAGTTTTAAGCAAATTAAATGGTGTACGTCCGTCCGAGGACTAATAACTTTATATGGATGCAATAAAGATTAATGAAGAACAACAAAAACATATTATCTCCGTTTTTTAAAAATTGACTCACTATATATTCAACTTGTAAAAAAAATATTTTTGACCATATTTTATGATTTATATAATAGAAATAAATTAGCATGTAGAATCTTATTAGATTCCAAATATAAAAAATTTCCAAATATATTATTTTCTAAACTTACACAATACATAGCCGAAAATATTCATGGTCAAAGATACTCATTAAAAACTACACAAATGTATAGTAAGACGAATTTTCAAAAAACAAATGGAGTTATATATAGAATTGCATGATTCATTATCAATGAATTAATTGTGCCCTCAAACAAACAAGATGATTTTTTTTTTAACGAACAAGATGGAAGCTTTATTGATGTCAACGAAAATATAACTCCATCAACCATCATTTCCATAATCAATAGTCCACAAGAGGTTTTTGACAGAGTCAAGCTAAATTGGAATGGTATTGAAAACAAAAAATCGTAAAATGTCAACTAAACCAAAATCAACTTTAATTTGATAATGAAAATTAAAAATGATCATAATTTGATTTATGACAACCTATGCATAAAAGCTCATGATTTGAGCATTATTTGGTTTAATTATACATGCCATTGTTTAATTTGTACGGAGTAATTAAGACCATAGTTAATTGACAATTTGAACCTAGTAGTCAAAGATCATAACCACTCCCTCCCTAAATTGAATTCATTGTCGCAAATGTATCATGGAGTAGTTAAGGGCCTGTTCATATTTACTTATTTTTAATTCAGTTCAGTTCAGTTCAGCTCCAATCAGTTCAGTTCAGCTCCAATAAGTTCAGTTCAGTTCAGCTCCAATCAGTTCAGTTCAGCTCCAATCAGTTCAGTTCAGTTCAGCTCTTAATTTCCCTTTCTCATAAAATATTCATTTCAGCTTAGTTCAGTTCAGCTCCAATCAGTTCAGTTCAGCTCAGTTCAGTAAATATGAACAGACCCTAACTTTATTGTCCTCCACACATTTTTTCATTTCTAGTCCTATTCGTACTTTATGTTTTCAAAACTTTTCAATTATCTTTCTCGCTTGTACTCGCTATGTTTCTAAATATTTTTTCTACTTTTCTTTTTCAACCGTTTATAAATACTTGCTACATTTCTTTATTTGGAAAGCTTTTATTATATTTAATTAATCTTTCTCACCAAGTGTACCCAATAATATTAATTCCATATCATCTCTCCTTCAATCATCTCCACTACTTTTGGTTTTTTACAATTTTTATTTTTTTATTTACCATACTACCTCCATATTTTATTACTTTTTCCAATATCTTAAAACTCCGTGCATGAAAAAATGAAACAAGTATTTAAAAATGGAGGGAGTAACATATACTCGTACTCCGTATATGACATAGGTAGTATTTGAAACTATTTATAGAATAGAGATGATATAATAAATTGTCGAGTCACGTATTTGTAACGACAATGAAACATTTTATAGTATTTCTTATAGGGTTATTACAAAGGACAACAAAGCTATTTTAAAATATTACCATAATACTACTTTGTATTACCCTTTATCGGAGAAGAAAACAATTACATGTGATTATGGTGTTTAAATTTCTCCGTACTTAAATCTTCCTTTATCATAGTGCTGATTATGTGTTTTTTTGTTACCAACATGAGCAAAGCTAAAAGGATAACCCTATACAAAGTATTTTTTTAGGCAACAAATAAGTATCATGATTTCTTTTGTGACGATTTAATAAGTAACATCATATTACTATAATGAACCAATATACGAACTAAAATATATCAAAATAAATAAAATAAAATAAAATAAAATAAAATAATGAATTATTACAAAAAAAATCAATTATTTTGTTACGTGGCAATATCTAAGTGGTAATAATAAATGGTGTGGAAGTTGGATCTCAAAAAAAATATGCCCATATTATTTTAATTTTATAAATATAGAAGATTACCTTTTTTTTTTTTTTTTTTGAACAAATATAGAAGATTACTAATATTGCTTCAAAAAAGAAGATTACTAATACGAGTACAATTTTCTTATTTAATTTCCATTTCATGTTCTTTTTATTTTTGTTTACTGCTGCAACATACCATTAGACACCCATAAAGCAAGGGCTCTGCTGCAAAGCGCCATTTTTGTGCGCCTCAAATCTCTCTCCTTTCTTTTCTCTCTAGATTGGAAAAATCTAAGCCTAAACCCAAATCAAGCGAAAATTTACGATCTTTTGACTCATCTTTACCTTGCATAAAAAGGAAGAATATAATCTTACCCAGGTATTTTGTTTTTAATCATTTTGATTGTAATTTTATTTTATTTTCCCTTTTTGTTTTTGAACCCCAGATTTGTTGTTATTTTCTGGAACTTTGAAGCTGAATGTTGCATTGTTCTGGGATTTTTAATCGAATTTAGAAATTACCCGTATCGAATTTCATGCATTTTGTTTTACTGATTACTGTTTTTGAGTTTTTCTTGTAGGAAAATTGATCTTATTCATTCATGGTTGATGATTTTGATTAAGCATATAAAATAAACGGCATTGCTTTTGATAATTTAGGGGTGATTTGTACCAAATTGGGAAGATAAGGGTTTTTTATTTGATGGGTTGGATCAATTTTCAAATTTTCAGATGTATGATGCATCTTATTATGTGATTTAGTGTAATACAAATGTTTACATTCATCCAGTAAATTTTACCCCTTTTAGGTGAAATTTTGAATTTTGTTTAATTTAAATTCCAATTGCGTTTTTAGGAGGGAGGTTTGAATTTGGATGTTGTTATGTTGATTAAGTCAATTAATTTGGGAGTTTAATATGCATGATTTGGGTTTTTTGATTTCTGGGAAATTAATCCTGTATTTTTTTTCCTGTTCATGTAATTGAATTGGTCAGCCATGAAATTGGTTAAAAAAATTTCTGAGAGTAAGTAATTTTTTTTTGTTTAACTTAAACATTTTGTTATCGAATCTAAGTTTGGAATTCAGGAGGCAACTGAGCATTTAGAAACAAAAGTTGTTATGAGATTACCTGTGTTGATGGTGACTAATATGACTATGATTAGTTCTTTTGTCGAATTATCTTTGTCTCAACTTCCTTTTTCGTATGATAACATCTGTTAAGCAAGCTTTGCTTATTATAGAAATGGGTAATAAACAAGAATAATTGTTACTTTCAAAAAAAAAAAACGAATAATCGTTGGTATAAAAACTACTTCTTTGAGAATTTGCTAAGGATTAGAAGTTGTATTATTCTTGTTTTAGTTATAGTTTAGATTCCATGATGTCAACGTGATGGTTAAATTAAGCATAAGATACTTTGTAAGGATGAGCTAGATTCCTCAACTTGTTGACTTGGGTTTTGTGGGATTTTCATCAGAATGAATTAGGTAGTAGTTTGTACTGGCTTGAGGTAAGGCTGTGCACATCTTGACTTCCTTAGACCTTAGAAACCATCTTGTGCTGGATTTATGTTGGGGTATTTCTGTTGCTAAATCTATGTCCGAGTACCTTTTTTGATTTGGATATTATATAGGGAAATGACAATCTGATGTACTGTAGGTCTGTAGTTTGGTTTATGTATCGGGACTTTGCTATTGGATTTAGCTAGTAGCATGTTGTAATTTATCTATGCAAGCAAATAAAACAACAACAATGCCTTAGTCCCAAAATGATTTGTGGTCGGCTAACATGAATTGTCATAAGCAAATAGTTTTACAACAGATTGCATCAAATTAAATTATAATTAATCTTAACACTTGTTTCTCATATTAATCATGTTTTTGGCTCTTTGTTTATGGCTATATGCCTTTATGCCCTTTTGAAGGGAACCCTCATGAAATCCACATGCATGCTATCATTATCAATTGGAAACCCCGTGGTCCATATGATCTCATTTTTTTCAATTATCTAAGTTTTGTTCTACCAGCTCAATGTACTATGTATACAACATGCTTTTCCCATCATTCTCTAATTTATGGCAATTTCTTCTGTAGTTTAAAGAGGCGGTGTGCAGCATAACTTATCATTTGTTCTGCGCTATGATGTGGTGAGACAGGCTGTTTGTGTGTTTGCAGAAATGAAGGGAGGAACCATCCAGAGAGGCAGGGGAAAACACTTCTCATTTACTCTGTTGGCAGTTGTATGTATGACCGTATTTCTTTGGTCTTATGAACGAAGACCTGTTTTCACAAATATAATAACGTCCCAAGATCACTTGATTTTACCATCAGGTTTGTGCCAATTTGCATCTTCTATATTTTTGGTTCATCAATAGTTTTGTTTTTGTTCCATTAGTGTTAATGGAATGAGTGCTTTGTGACTGAGGCATTAAATATCTTTTTCCCATTTATTGAAGAAATGACTAATAGGATAGGATCATTTTATTTAGAAGTTTTATGAAAATTTGCGTTGTACAGTCTACATAATCTTAGTTACAACTCAATTATATGTTCTTCTCTGGGCAAACCTAAATAATACGATTGTTTTTCCTTACAAAATGATTGGTGGAGTGGGTGTTTTAAAGGATGCTGTTGCTGTTGTGGTTTCTCTTTTTATTGTCTTCTGCTCTGATGTATGCTAATTGCTTTTGATTCAGATGTGTTTGACGTAGCTTCACACACCTCTGGAGATCTCAACAAACTAGAAGATCTCAACAAGCCAGTAGATCTTAACAAATCAGAAGATCAACCTGTTCAAGAATCTACACTTGTAAACATAGAAACAGAGGAAACTACAGAGACGACAGAGCAACATATATTTAATATTGAGAATAAAGAAGAAATAGATGATAAAAAAAAACCGCAGATACCTGTTGTTGAGAATACAGAGCCTTTGGCTGAAGAGTCTTCTGTGATTATAGAAGACGTCAGGGTTCCACAAGCCTCAACCGGGAAAAACTTTTCATCTGGTAACAAAGGTAGTTACTTTTCTTGAAGCTTTAAGCGCTACCTTTTGTATTAATATAATGCATGATGTGTGGTAATGTTTGCTGATGCCTGAATTTATATCTTGGGCTTGACCTCATTTATCGTTTATTTGTAGCAATACTGCTCTTGCGCTTGTTGCCTTGTCTTCCTATTGTTGGTTTTAATCTTTAATGGCGTACCATTTTTTTTAAGCATTTTTATGTACAGGATATTATTTAGCGATTATAATTTGCCTCGTTGTTTTGAGATGTGACTGATGGCCCGAATGTGTTTTTTATGATTTAGAAGCGCTCCATCAGATTTCTATTGACTTTGCTTTTGTTTCAATATCTCTAATTTGCAATGGTCCTGATTTTACCCAAGATAATGATACAAATATGCTGGATTCTAACCTCTGGTTCCCACCATTGGTTGGACTCTTATTCTCAGATGTAGCACTGGACGACTCTTGTTTGTCTATGCCATATGTAGAGATACGTGGATTGTGCTACCCAGTTCATATTGGCTGCCTCTTTAGAATTGGCAGTTCAATTTGTATTAGTTCCATTACTTACTGCTTATTGCTAGGTTTATACAAGCTACGAAGTATTTGGTTTTCTTTTGATATTTATTGCATCTGTGGTAGCTGGGAAAGTGGCAATGAGTGTTGGTTACTCGTGTGTACATTTATTTATAAACTGCCTATCCTTTGGGTTTTTGGCGATCAACCTGAAATTGTGTGGAAACTTGCATTGTTTTTGCCAGTCTTGCAAGTTGCAAGTATGTAGTGCTATGCTAATATACCGTGTTTCCCTTGACAGTTTGTAACTATGCAAAGGGTAGATGGGTTGTTGATAAAAGACGACCATTGTATTCTGGCTTTAAATGTAAGCGCTGGCTATCGGATATGTGGGCTTGTAGATTAACACAACGCCCAGAATTTGGTTATGAAACTTATAAATGGCAACCAGCAAATTGTGACATGCCGGAGTTTGAAAGATCTGCATTTTTGAAAAGGTGAGGAATCTCTGATCTAACTTCTGCTTTAAAGAACATGGGTAATTTTCTCATATTTGTTGGGCCGAAGGGCTCTCATAATTGGTGGTTTCATTCCATTTCATTTTCTTCTCTGAACCATGCATGGAAATGAATAGATGTGAATTATTGCCCGGGTGCAAATATTTGAACCATTTTGTGTTTGCAGAATGCAGGATAAAACGATTGCTTTTGTTGGCGATTCCTTAGGCAGGCAACAATTTCAGTCTCTCATGTGTATGGTTACTGGTGGTGAAGATATTCCTGAAGTTCAAGATGCGGGAAAAGAGTATGGCTTAAGTGCCCCACACGGTGCTGCTCGTCCGAATGGCTGGGCCTTTCGATTTCCGGAAACCAACACCACAATACTATACTACTGGTCATCCTGCCTCTGTGACTTAGTGCCTCTGAACAGTAATGACCCCGCCTCAGAAGTAGCTATGCATTTGGACCGTCCCCCGTCTTTCTTGAAGCAGTATCTCCACCAGTTTGATGTTTTGATTCTTAATACGGGCCATCACTGGAACCGGGGTAAAGTAAATGCAAATCGATGGGTGATGTATGTTGATGGGAAACCTAATCAGAACAGGAGGCTGGCGATGATCGGGAATGCTAAGAATTTAACAATTCATAGTGTTGCAAAATGGGTTGATTCACAGCTTCCTTCTCATCCCAGGCTTAAGGCCTTTTTTCGGACAATTTCACCCAGGCATTTCTTCAATGGGGAATGGAATACTGGGGGGAGCTGTGAGAACACAACTCCTTTGGCTCGAGGGAGTGAAGTAAGTCAAGAGGAGTCAAGTGATCAGGTTATTGCAAATGCTGTTAAGGGCACAAAGGTGAATTTGTTGGATATAACGGCTCTCTCTCAGCTGAGAGACGAGGGGCATATATCAAGGTATAGTGTAAAAGCATCTTCTGGAGTACAAGATTGCCTGCACTGGTGCCTACCTGGAATTCCTGACACATGGAATGAAATACTTGCTGCCCAGTTATAGGTTGTTTCTCACCTCCCATGTAATCTTAAACTCCATTTTAGTGATATCAGTGGCCATGCATGGCATTTGACAACGCCATTGTTTATGTTTATCACGTTAGAAATTAGGGTGAAATCTGTTGTTTATAAGCTAGAGGAGATTGCATAAGTTGTTAATTAGGTTAGGAAAGCTGTTACTTCCTATATATTTATCATACCCTGAAATTTCAGGTTGATGTATTTTCACAATCATTTCTAACATTATAATGTCATCTGAAATTGATGATTTATTGTCAAGTCTCATGATGCGGCTTTGCTGGTAAAAGAGCCGCTAGTTCTTCAATCTTGCCTGATATTTTGCTGATAATGAGAAGCCTCTTTATATTGAAGAGGTACAGAGTACAGTATATGAAGAACACAACCAGTAAAACTGATCTGTTATCTGTCCTCGATTAATTATCTCGTTGTTCAACCCTTTATTACGTAGGATAATAGTATCTTTTACCATAGTTGTGTTATGCTTGCACTTCCTAGTGTCAACACATACTACCTCCGGTCCAAATTACTCGCAACTTTGGAATATTTTATATCTCACAAATAATACCCCATAGTTGCGAGTAATTTGGACTGGAGGTAGTATTACTCAATCTTAGGAAAGGGTGTACCAAATCCTCATACTTAAGATGCCAATGTGCCATAAACATATGAGTGAGAGTGACTGAAGTGAGGCATTTGTTGTACTTCTTCGCAAGTAGTTAATCACAATTTCACAACCAAATAATAATTTATGAATTGTAAGTATTCTTTCTTAACATTGCAATTTTGTGTCACAATACTTGCCAAGACGGCAAGACCTAGAAAAATCTGATTCAATCCAAAACAAACTCAATAACAATCAATCTTACTTCCTCCGTTTTTTTAAATGCATTACTTTGACTTTTGCACTATTCACATACCATAATTGACTTAATTTTTTCACCTCTTTAAATGATTAAATGTTATAATATATTATATCATTATATTAGTCATAATGTCTAGTGTCGAGTACAAAATTAGAATCCAAAAAGGTTAGAAAATATTCAATTCCGACATCAACCTTATACGAAGTATAGTTTAAGGGATCACGTTTTATTTCAATTTGAAAAATTAAAAACCACCCAACTTAAAACCAACTTAACTAAGCGTTTTAACATGTTTATACTTACCCACTACTCAAGCACTATATGTCTATATTCTATGCTCCGCACCTTTTCTTTCCAGCCGAAATCAAATATGCTTTTGAGATCTTATAGAGTGTACTTAATTAATTACATTAATTACATACATGTGTTCAACCTCATCACACCGCGTAACATAACTAAAACCCCAGACCCAATGAGCCGAGTCTTATAGCCCAAGTCCGAACCAACATAACAAATCACGAGATACCTTGATGGTTCAGTTACAGAATACCAGAATCAGATACGTTGTCGTCACATTCACATTCACTTAACGCCTTCATCAATCATCATTTCCGTCTATCACGTTTCTCTCACTCCTCTCCTTCACCTTAGCACCCTGCGCATTTTAGCACCCTGCGCATTTTAGCACCCTTTAACATTTTTCAAAATTTCACCCACATTATTATTTTTTTATTTTTATCATTTAAATTTTCGAATAATCACCAAAAAAAAAAAAAAAAAAAAAAAAAATTCTACCTTCGTCCCATCTTCCGCCCTTTTCTAAAAAAAAAAATCAAAACAAATTTCCTCTCTCTCTCTCCTCTTTTTTCTCTCTCCTCCCAACGACGCCGGCGACCGTCGTTTTATCGGAAATTCTCACCACTCTCTGCAATTTCCGGCGATATTTTCTCTCTCCTACTTTCTCTCTCTTCCTTACTTTCTCTCTCTACAATCTGTAAGCTCCGATCCAAACGAACTCATCATCTTCTTCTTCATCAATTTCAATTATTCATCATCATTTTTTATTTTTGTAATTTAATTTGAATTTCTTCAACTGCATCGAATAGTTCAACTGAATCGAATTTTGTTTGTTTGATTATTGTTATTTGATAATTTGAAGAAAACTTGTTGATTTATCTCCCCTGGCAGTCGTCAATGTCTGCCAGGGTTTTGTTGAATTAATGCGAAGAATGATGAAATTTAGGGTTAGGGTTAGGGTTTTGTTGAATTAATGGTAGTATTAGGTTTTTTGATTGATTGAGGAAATGGTTCGATTGTTAGGGATAACTATTGGGGAGCCGGATGAATTTCCTAGGGAGATTACTAGGAATAATTTGATTGCTAGTAGTGAAACTGTTGGGGAAAATGGGTGGCTTATTCGGTTTTTCGATTCGGCTTTTTTCTGTGAGTGGATTGCTGTTAGTTACTTGTATAAGCATGAACACTCAGGTGTTAGGGATTACTTGTGTAATAGAATGTATACGCTTCCGTTGTCTGGAATCGAGAGCTATTTGTTTCAAATATGTTATATGATGGTGCATAAACCGAGTCCTTCGTTGGATAAGTTTGTGATTGATGTGGCATCGAAGTCGTTGAAGATTGCATTGAAGGTGCATTGGTTTTTGATGGCTGAGATTGAGGATTCTGATGATAATGAGGGGATTAGTAGGATCCAAGAGAAATGTCAAATGGCGGCCACGTTGATGGGGGAGTGGCCACCTCTTATTAGGCCTCCGAATGAGGTGGTTGGGGGGTCTGGAGGAAAGAATCAGATGCTTAACAAGCTGCTTTCTTCTAAGCAGCGGCTTTTGTCATTGACATCATCACCCCCATTGCAGAAGTCGTTCACTTTCTCGCCCTCATCAGGGTCTAATGTGGGAGATGAAGGTGGGAAGATGTCGCCTGATGAGAATAACAAGTTTATTAAGAAGTTTATGCCAGGGCAGAAAGTCAGGGATGCTTTGCTCTTTAGGAAGTCAGCTGAGAAAGAAGATGATGATTCGGAGAAGGATGGATTCTTTCGAAGGCTGTTGAGAGATAGTAAAGATGAGAATGAGGAGTTGACAGCCAGTTCTGAGGGTTTTTTTAAGCGGGTATTTCGTGATAGTAAGAGTGATTCTGAAGAGAGGTCTGTTTCCCGATCAATAGATGATGATGAGAAAGAGAATTTCTTCAGGAAAATAATCAAGGAAGTGTTTGATGATAAGAAGGATGGAAATGAGAGAAATGATGATGAAGAGAAGGACGGGAGTAGAAAGTTGATTGATGATGAAGAGAAGGAAGGATTTTTTAGGAAGCTCTTTAAGGATAAATTTGAGGACAAAAAGGATGGGAATGATGGAAATGAAGATGAAGATAAAGTTTGCTCCAAGTTGGTCAAGGACGATGATAAAGAAGGATTTTTCCGGAAGTTATTCAAGGAAAAATCCGAGGATAAGAAAGATGGTAAGGAGAGGAAAGATGATGAAGATGATGAGAAGGAAGGTTTTTTCCGCAAACTTTTTAAAGAGAAGGCCGAGGTGAAGAAACATGGCAACGACGTCTTCAATGATGAAGACAAGGTTCATGCCAATGGTGATGAGGAGGAACCTTCAGATTTTCCACTGTTCCGCAGGTTGTTTCGTGTACATCCTGAAGAGGCAAAGACTACAACTTTAGATGCCAATAGTATTGAAGGCAGTCCAGGAACAGAAAATTTCTTTCGCAAGTTGTTTCGAGATCGTGATAGATCCGTGGAAGACTCTGATTTGTTTGGCCTAAAAAAGATAAAAGAGGTTAGTTGACTATCTTGATATTTCATTTGAATCTTAAGTGTTGGTTTCGTAGATATAATATTAGCCTTTTGTGCTTAGTGTGTGGCTTTAATTGATTTAAACTGTCTGGTTAGATTGTGTGACCTTTGATTGTCTTTCTAAGTCTGAAGTGTGTACATGTTAGAGCAGGGAAATTTCTAGTAGTATGTATAGAAATGTGGACTGTTGCTTGCAATAGCTCAACTTATTCTACAGAATTATAGTATATTAATGTGTATTTTACACAGTTCTTGTTACATTCATCTTTTGCTGAAACAGGCTGAATGTAATGATGATGATAATGATATATGTATTTTTAAGAGCTTTGCTATTGGCAAACTGAAAGACATATGGCCTTTTGTAACACTTATGTTGTTTTTCCTGCTTTAAAATTGTTGAATATGGAGGAGTGAATAGATTGTAATGTCTATGACTGTTGATTATTGAGCGGTTTCACGTATTCCCTCCTTATTGCTATCTTGATTAATTATTTATTGTTGTATCTGTTATCTTATCCTTTTTCATGTTTATCTTTATTGCATTGTCATTTAATGTGACAGAAAAATCTTGGTTCAGTTGGTTCCCCCTCGCAACAGAATCAGAAAACAACCTCGAAGCCTCCACTACCAAATGGTGCTGCGTCACAGTTCCGTAAAGGAGCATATCATGAATCTCTGGAATTTGTACATGCACTATGTGAAACTTCCTTTGGCTTAGTGGATGTGTTTCCAATTGAAGATCGCAAATGTGCACTGCGTGAGGTTGGTTATTTTGTTTTGGACATTTGTATTGTGTCTTTAATTGCAGTCTAGTTTTCTCATGTATTCAGTTGTTGATATGTAATGCCGATATCTCCAGTCCCTTGCAGAGATCAATTCCCATGTGGCTGAAGCTCAGTCTAGTGGAGGTAACAATGATTTTCTCTTAATCATGTCTTGTTAACAACATACCTGTGAATTGATTTTTAGTTTTGAAATGTGCTCCAGTCACCATATCACTTTCTTGCCTTGTAGTTTCAATAGAGTTAAAGATTTGAAAATTTTGGAAATTGATGAAACTATAGCAGAGAAGACCTCATTTGTTGCCTGTGGTCATGCTCTCCAATTCTGGATTAATATCATCTTTAAGTTGTAGAAAGTACATGAAGTGGCAAGTGCAAGGCAAACGCAAAACTAGATATATGTGTATGTGTGATTTTTGATGTGGAAGAGTCATCATTAAGGCTTTGTTGATAAGCTCAATTTTGCTGTGCTGCACTTTGACATCTTGGGATTTTTAAGTGGCTGTATCACTCTTATTATGATGCATATGGTGCAGTTGAAACCAAACTATTTATTTCAAACTATAAATCAAACCAAACAAATCCACTAATTAACAGACAACGGTTTGGTATAGACCGTGCAGTAAACAGGCCCTAGTGTGCTTGTTCTTGCCGCAGGTCAATATATATTTTTATTAGAAAATAGTATTTTTTTTATTTTGCTAGTCCATATTGTTTATGAGACTCTGGTTTTTTATCAGTATTTATGTCCTTTTGTTCCTTCTATAATAGACTAACCTAAGGAGGGGT